GAAGGTTTTAATGTTGTAGATTCTGTATCTTTATCTGTATATCTATATTTATATCTAACTTCTTTTAAAAGTCATTAGACTTAGCTTTTCTGGAAATGGGTGAGTTTTTGGTCTTTTGGTTTTTTGAGACAGGATTTCTCTGTGTAGCTCTGGCTGTCCTGGAACTGACTCTGTAAACCATGCTGGCCTTGAACTCACTGAGTTCTGCATCTGCCTCCATGAGTGTTGGGATTAAAGGGTGTGCCACCACCACCTGGCAGCTTTAACTTTAATTTAACCATATTTCCTTTTGGAATATTACTAGTACTTGGTAATAAAGATTTGAAATGTACTATGCATATTATTTGGGATGCTGCTGAGGCATCTTTCCAGTTCTTGTAGGTTGTCTTTATAAAGTTTAGTCACCTTCAGGTGATGTCAGCCTTTCGTGCCTCATTCATTCTCTTCCTTACTGGCTACCCATGTTGTTATACACCCATGTTATCCAGTAGACCTCCAGTAGATATCACCCCACCCCATGCAAGTTTGGTATCTGCTGTATAATAAATGCAGTAGACTTGAGGCACAAGTGCCTCTTGAATATGAAAAAAAAAACTTGATTGCCTGAGAAACTGATTTTAAAATTTTGTACGATATTATTAAATTTAAATTTAACCTAAATAGCAACTTGTTGCTAGTGATTACCATATTGGACAGCTTGGTAATAAAACATTGGGATACCATGTACTAAGGAAATTGTTTCATGTTGTTATTTCTTTGAATTGCTTTGGAATTAAGTGTCCAACTGAAGAATAAGAGGTTAAGTTAGCCTAAATTCATTGTTATAACCAAGACTACATTTGTATTACCTAAGAATAAAAATAAGTATTTCTATTTCAAATCAAAAACAAAATGTGTTTTTGGTTGGTGTATCTTAGCTATTATTTGGAGTAGTTTTAGATTAAAAATAAAAATGAGGGGCTGGAGATACCTCAGTGGTTAAAAGCTCTTACTGTTCTTTTAGTGTTGGATGGCTCTGTAGATGTAACAGTCTTATTAAATAAGAAACACAGAGCCAAATGCAGAGTTAAAAGCCCAAGAGGTCAGAGCAGTAGCTAAGAGCTGAGACTTAAAACTGCCTTCTTACCCTTCCTGCCGCTGCTGCCGTCCTTCCCCTCAGCAAGAGACCTACTTCCTATGTATCTGTCTTTTTATTGACTTTCTGTTCTGCCTTCTTATTGGTTGTAAACCCAACCAGATGACCTCCTTGTCACTGCCTGTCTATACAGACCTCCAGGTCTTCTATGGCGTGGGTTTCCATGCTGGTGGTGTCCTTGAACACACAGAGATCTGCCTGTCATGTGATCGGGATTAAGGGCGTGTGCTACCACTGCCAGACTTCTGCTATGGTTTGCTATCAGCTCTGACCCCAGGTAGCTTTATTTATTAACATACAAATAAAATCACATTTCAGCACAAATAAAATATCACCATGTGGCTCATAGCTACCTGTGACTCAAGCTTTATTGGGATCTGTAACCTCTGACCTCCATGGGTACCCACACATGCATGCACCCTCCACCCCCTCCACACACACACTTAAACATATTTTAAAAATGTGAAAGGTGCTGTTTTGGAACTTCAGCTCCCTTCCGTCTGACAAAGAGAGTACAAAAGTACTAGTTGAGTCAGAACTTCCTTTGCTTTGAAGTTTTTACATACTGAAGATAATCATGATAATGCTTTGTTTTTACATTTTCAGTATTTGGATGGAAGTTCTGTGTTATTATCAAGCTTCTTTGTGAACTCCAGATGAATTCAGAAATTCCTTCTGAACTAGTGATAAAGAGTAAATATATTAATGTTACAAAATTAATCTTTGTCTAACAAGAATCATGCCCTCAGTGGAGGTTTGTACGTTGAGTGTCATTAAATTGGTCAAAATTAATTCAGTTTTTATTAATAAAGAAGCAAAAATTTGGGGGTTTAAGTATGGGTTTGATTATACAACAATATAAGTGAACTAAAGTTCTATGGAATATTGATTGGCATAATTATACTCTACGTGTACAATTTCATACCATATGTACCTTTTTGTATAGTATTAGTAGTTGCTAATTAACAGTTGGAATTATTCAGGGCTTTGAAAAGAATTAAATTCTTTCAAACTCTTGCTCCATTGAAGGCCTTAGTCTCTTCTAGATTTCCCTTCTCAACAAATGATCTCTCTTCATATCTCACAGGTAATGTGAGTACATGCTCATCTCTTGTCTTTGTGTGTTTGCGTGTTCATGTGTGCGTGTTTATGGAGATAGGGGCTGTGTCAGCTGTCATTTTCCACTTTTTTTTAAAAATAGATATAGGGGCTCACTGTGTAATAATCCTGGAAAGCCTGAAATGTCTTATGTAGACCAGACTGGCCTTAGACTCAGAGATGCCTCTGCATCTTGAGTTCTGGAATTAAAATCATGGGCCACTGTGGCCAGCTCCACCACAGTTTTTGACACAGGGTTTCTCACTGAACCTGAAACTCAAATGAGTGGTTGGACCAGGTAGCCAGGAAGGTTGAGGGCTCTGCTTTTCCTCCCCTCCTTCCCTGAGGTGGGTTACTCTTTGTGCTTGGCTTCGTATGTGGGTCCTAGGGATCCAAACTCAGGCCTCCAGTTTGAGCTGAACTTGTACTGACTGAGCTGTCTCTGCAGCCCTGGTCTTTTTGCCTTTCCCGAAATCGGTGTGCAGTCCTCGTCGCTGATCTCGAGCTTCTTTGTGTTACAGTATGAAAAGGGTCCTGTTTCCTGATTGAAGCCCCTCTCCACCTGACTATTAGTCTTCTGGATTGCCTCTTCATAGATGCTGTCTGTTTTTCTGTTTCTTCTGATTATGTCTGTTTCCATTGACTACACGTGTGCCTTTTGTGGTGCTGAGATAGAAACTAGGACCTGGCACTTAGTGTCTGCTGCCAAGACTTCTCCCACATCAGGGAAAGGGGACGACGTGGACGGGTGAGGCTAGGGCAGATAACAGCATCTGCCACAGTCACCTCTTGCCCACTTTGGTTGGTGCGCTTAGATAGCATTGCGGACAGAGTATGCAACATCAAAGTCCTAGCATCCAGTACCACAGTGTTGTAAGTTAGCTGTACGAAAATTGAAGGAGATTGTGAGGAGGCCAGGAGAGATACAAAAAGGCAAAAAAACACATTCTTTGGCTTTCTAAAACATTTCTTTTGCTTAGGGAGATCAGATGTACATAAGTTACAAAACAGTGTAGTGGTCAGGCTATGAGTAAAGGGGATTTTTTTTTTTTAAAGGAAAGCATATCTATGTTTCTAGAGGACTAGAATTTTAATTGACATACTTTTTAAAATAGAGAGCTTTGCTTTATTTTATTGTGACAGGGTCATGTAACAAGATAGGGTTTTGTAATGTAACCCAGGCTGGCCTGGGGCAGTCTTACCTTAGTTTTACAAGTGGGCAAATGGGATTTTTTTTGTATAGAATGTTGTTCATGTTCAATACTGATTTTCAATCCAGAATGGAAAGGAATCACAGGAAACAACACTATGAGAAATTTATATTGGGTATAAGCAGGCTGTTCTAGTCTTAATCTCAATTTGTGATAAATAATAGCCTTGTTAATGAAGTCATTTATGGTAACTCACATTTGACTGTTATTATTATAATTTCATCAAGTTGTGAAAATAAGAAAGGTTTTTTCCCCCCTTCTAAAGTGTGTATGGGAATTAGAACTACAGTAGCTTCAGGTTTCCCAGTTGAATAAATTATTTTGTAGAACATGGGGAAAGTATGAAAGAGGAAAAGTCAGAAAGTCATGAAAGAATACAAGTGGAGTAAACCTGGAGTATTGCAGAAAATAGTAGATTAGGTAGAACTCACTGGTGACCTAAAAACATTTAAAAACAAGTCAGTGTGGATGTAATGCAATTTGTATATGTGTATATTTTTTTCTTTTTCCTTTTTCCTTTGAGACAGTGTCTCTATGTAGCCCTGGCTGTTTTAGAATTCACTATGTAGCCCAGGCTGACCTCAAACTCAGAGATCCACCTGCCTACCAAGTGCTGGGACTAAAGGCGTGTGCCACCACACCTAGCTTATGTTTTTTTCTTTATCATAGAAAATTCTTCAAAAGCATAAGCTTTTAAAACAGCTGTGTAACATTCTGGTTTGGGATGTACTGTGATTAACCTACTCCTTTATTGGTAGACATTTAATTCCTTCAAAAATTTTCTTCCTATAAACCAAGTAAAAATAATTTGTCTCTTTAAAATTTTTATTTAAGTTTATTTTATTTATTAGTTGTGTGTATATGTGGGGGGGAGGGAGAGCAAGCACATGAGCATGCATGTCATCTGTATGTATAGAAGTCCGAGAACAACTTTTGGGAATTGGTTCTTTTCACCCACACGGGTTCTGGCGCAGGGTGGGGGGTGGGGTGGCGGGGCTCAAACTCAGATTGCCAGGCTTGGTAGCAAGCACCTTTGCTCACTGGGCTATCTCACTGGCTCCCAATTTTAAATCTTAAGTGATGAATTAGTTAACATAGGAAACACATGTCAGTATTTTGAGGATTACTGGAAAGAACATTGAAGTAGCAGAAATAACATTTTGAATTTTCCATTACAACGAGAAAGATGGTGATCCTGCAATGAATAAAAAAATTAAAACATCAGTATCTTAATAAAATTTTGACATTTGTCATCCATTAAAGAAATAGATGTTAAAGCAATATGTAATATTGTTTACTTACATAAAGTAATACAAAATGTGAATAAAATTTTTTAAGTATATATAATTGTCTTAAGTTTTATATATTTACCAATGACTTAGTCTTTTTTTTTTTTTAAAAGTAAAATATTTTTGTTTGGAAACTTTAAACTGCTCATAATTTTCCAGTATAGTATTATTGTACGAACTATTTAGTTTAGGAAAGGAATGAGGAAGAGTTCTTTTGAAATATGCATGTATTTTTACTAGGTTTATTACGTTTCTCTTTCTTTACAGGCCTTTTTGCAAATGTGTAATCTGCCTGTCAAAGTGGTGTGTAGGGCAAATGCAGAATATATGTCTCCCTCTGGTAAGTGTGTGTGTTTTCTGTTAACACTACTTGTTATTTGATACTGAGAATTGAACCTAAGGCCTTAGATATGCTAGGTAAGTACTATACTACTGGCCATGTTTCTAGCCCCCGATATTAAAATTCTTAGTTTTTTTTTTTTTTTTCCCTTTGAAGAATTATTTTCCGATTTTTTTTTTTTAAAGTAGCAATTATAAGCTTAATCATGAAGGCCTATGTCTACTTATTTCAACTCTGGTCTGAGGTTTTTAACTGGATGTTCAGGACAAAAATGTGACATCAGATTTCCTCAGTCTGATTTACACTGGGCTTTCCTTTTCTGAAAACAAATTTTAATACTAATGAGTCTATTAATATTCAGCATCCCTAAGTTATTTTTCCTGTAGAACAGGTAGAAGAAGAAAGCTCATGAAATAATTAAATTGTCAACTTTCTTTTTTCTAGTGTTTTAAAGTACTTTTATTAAAGCTTCACTTTTACTCTTTTAAATGATAATGATGATCTGTGTTACATGCTACTAGATTTAACGATCAGGATGATTTGTGTGTTATATGTCAGGAGATCTAACTAGTGCCAATTAAATAGGATTTGAATAATTTTGGTATAAAAATATAATGCCACAAAGCTAATTAAATGTTAAATATGATGTCACAGATTATTTTGGTTTTACTAGAGCAATAACAACACAAAATCATTTCTTCATGAATAAGTGATTATGTATAATTGATTAGCATAGGTATGCGATATTGCTTTTTGTACATATAAAAATTTGTCAATCTCTTCATTTTGATATGGTGATTATTTAGGAACTATTTGTGTTTAGCATTTTCTTTTCACCCTTAAGCTTTTAAGGATGATAATGATTGTTAGACTATCTGTAAACACCCAACCCATAACACTGAAAATTCCACATAAATGTAGTTTATTAGATTTCTGAATAAACTTATAGAAAACATTTCTAAAAAAGTTTTCTAGACTTGGAAATCCAGTATGTTTTGGATTTTAGAGATTACTATTGCTGTGATGAAACACCATGATCAGACGAGCTTGGAAAGGGTTTATTTGGCTCCCATAGTTCTGCTAATAGTGTCACCCTATTAGCCTCTGGGGGCCATTTTCATTCAAACCACCATACTCACTATGTTTCTTTGGCTATTCTGGCACTCTATGTAGATCTGGCTGGCCACAAACTCAGAGATCCACCTGTCTCTGCCTCCTGAGTGCTGGGATTAAAGGTATGCATCACCACACTTAGCTTGTAATGGACTTTTAAAACAGAACATAGGACAGTTAGAAAACATTTTGGCTACAAGTTAGGAAGTCATTAATCCTGTTACTTTGTCCAGTTATTAACTATTTCTTTGGGGAGTTCTGCTTCTCTTCTTTTAACTTCACCTGTTACATGAGCTACTCAGACTAGATGACATCTACGTTTCTAGCTAACATTCTCTGAATCTACAGACTTACTTGACAATATGTTACTGCTTTCTTTAGGAAAAAAAAAAAAAAAACAGGGCAAGGGAGATGGTTCCATATTCACTGTGCACACATAAGGCCCGGTGTTCAGATCTCCAGCAACCACACAAAGAGCTGGGCATGCCAGCACCTGCCTGAAGTCCCAGAGCTAGGAAACAGAGACACCAGTCTAGCTAATCCTTGAGCTCTAAGTGCAGTGAGAGACTCTTTATCAAAAATTAAAATAAGGTGGAGACAGACTGATAGAAAAATGATAAAGGACACTGATACCATATAAACTTCTGGCCTCTGCACTCCCATATTTGTATGGGTGAATGTACCTGTACACATGTGTGCATGGGTACACACACACACACACACACACACACACACACACACACACACATACGTGCGCACGCACACACATGCACACACATACACACACACACACCACACACATGGGCAAAAAAAAGAAAAATTGGTCTGGAGTGACTTCTGTCTAAAATGAGAATCAGAACACACAGTTCTACTTTGGTACAGAGAATTATCTCACTGAGTTTTTGCCTGATACATGTAATAAAGACTGCACGTTGACTATAGTTAACCTAGTGAGAAGAAAAGGATCCTTCACTTCTCATCTGTTGCTTTGATCTCTTAGTCTATCTCTTTATTGGATATTTTTGCATATACAGTTGGCTAGCCACATTATTTCTGTGCTTCATTACCCACAATGCTTATGTATGTGGGTGCTAAGTGTGGGTGTGTTGCATGCAGAGGCCAGAAGTTGATATGTCTTCCTTTGTAGCTCTCCACCTTTTTGTTGGTTTGTTTTCTTTTGAAATAAGATCTCTTTGAGCCAGTAGCTCACCATTTGGCTAGACTAGCTGACCAGCCAGCCCCTGGGAGCTTTCTGTCTCCATCGTTTAGCACTAAGGTTCCAGACCTCACGTCTGTGCAGCAAGCACAGTCCTCACATCCGCCCAGTTTAATGTATTTGTAAGGAGACAACGTGCCCCCACCCCCCTCTAAGAATTTGAAAGGAATTGAAAAGGAGAAATATTCTGCTTCTAAAAGTGTTACTCTCTAGGGGGCTGGAGAGATGGCTCCAGGGTTAAGAGCATGTACACCTCTGATAGAGACCCTGAGGTCAGTTCTCAACACACATGTCAGGTGGCTCACAACCACCTATAACCTTAGTTTCTATTCCTTTGGCTTCTGCAGATACTGTCATTCATGTGTATACATGTGCGCATGTGCACACACACACACATCAAATAAAATTTTAAATGTCATACCTCACAGTACCCATTAGTCTAGGCATGAAACTTTTTTTTTTCAAAATCTCAGATGACCTGTATTTACTCTAATGAAGATTTTTTCCAAGTCAAAACCAAATAACAATATAGCGTAGTGTTTATCCAGTTTAGCTTGTTTGTTTTTTGAGATTTGTAAAGCAGTTAGAAGGAATACACCATTGGTAATAGGGAAATAAAAATACATCTATTGAGTGTTGTGTCCCAAAAGGCTCCCCTTTTCTTTGTAGTGTTATCCCATAGATGCAGAGGAAGCTTTTATTGGTGCCAGGCACCTCATCCATTACCCTCAGGCTGACTGAATTAGAGAGAAGCGAATATACTCAACAGGAGCAGGAAGAAGCCTGCTGTTAGTGTGAACTCTGGGTGAACTAAATCTGACAGCAGGTTTCATCCTTTAACATCTGGAGTGGACTAGCTTGCTATTTAGAGACTATATTTTCCTTGATCTCTAATAGTTGTATTAAGCATTAATGTTTATTAATGTGTCATTTATTTAAAGACACCCGTTTTCTTTTTTCTCTCTCTCCCTTACTTCCCCCTACTGAGGTGTGAACCTGAGACCTCATGCTGGTCAAGCACTGTAGCTCTAAGTTGAGCTATGTCTCTCAGTGTTGACATTTTCAAAAGCCTACCGTTTGGTTCTTTTTCCTCTCGTATATTGGGAACATAACTCAAACTAGCATACCTTCTAAGGTGGTGAATTCTTTGAGTCTAAGACATTTATTAAGGAATATTGACTTTAATGGGTATCAGATTTAAAATTAGAAAGCATAAAAGAAATCTTTTGAAGACTACCTTTCCCAGCACACAGGAGGCAGAGACAGGTGGATCTCTGGGAGTTGGAGGCCAGCATGGTCTACAGAGTGAGTTCCAGGTCAGCCAAGACTACATAGTAAGACCTTGTTTCAAAAAACAACAAAACTTTTCAGTATAGATTGAAGTTTTGTGCTGTACCCTGAAGAGAAATCCCCGTTACATTTCTGTGGAAGTTTTCAGTGATATTGAATTAGTGTCCTATGTGATGTCCTTGAACTAGCTTGGCCCATGTGATTAATAGTCTTATTTAGTGTTAGCTCTGAAATGAGAATATGATGATTTGTTGGTATATCTAGGCAAGAACTCTAGAAATGAATCTACTTACTCTTTCCCCCTCTCTACCTGTGTTTCAGTAATTTGATTTCTGTGAGGTTTACTTTCAGGGCTGTTTTTGACCTTAGAGTCTTCCTGCCTTGGACTCCTGAGGATTATAGGCATGTGCTACTATACTTGGCTCCTTTATTTTATAACTTATTGGCAATCATTGCTTAAAGTTTGTAGACTTTAGCAGATGCTTCTGGCTATCATTTGGAAAGTTATAATTTTATAATATTTCTTTATGAATAAAACTCCTGAGTTTCTTGGTTTTGTTTGTTTGTTTTTTTACTAGCACAAACTTGAATTTCCTGAGGCTGTTTTCTCACATCTTTTCTCCTCCTCAACAGGAAAAGTACCTTTTATTCATGTGGGAAATCAAGTAGTGTCAGAACTTGGTCCTATCGTCCAGTTCGTTAAAGCCAAGGTAATGGAAAAAAAGAGTAAATGCATTTGACCATTTTTATTGATTTTTAACCTAGCTTTATGAAATGCTAATGTAAATTATTAGAAAATATTTCTAAACTTAAAGTTGGGTGTTTTTTATAATATAAATCAATAGTAAAGATATAGGTGGATTTTCTAATATAGGGTAATTAGAATTTGTCATAAATGAAGCTTTTAAGTTCTTAAGAAATATATGGTTGCCCTTTGAGAAGGGAGATGTAGGATGTGTTTTGAAGTTTAAAATACCAAGTTGCCTACTTGTCAATCAGTAGTTATGCTCATTTGTTTAATTTAGATTTTAACAGTTACGAAACACTTCATTAGCCAGGCTGTGGTAGTGTATACCTTTAATCTCAGCCCTCAGAAGGAGACAAAGGCAGGCAGGTCTCTGTGACTTTGAGGCCAACTTTGTCTACAGAGTGAGTTCCAGACCAGCCAGGGCTACAAATTAAGACCATGTCTCAAACAAAGCAAGCCAAAAGATAAATTCCTGAAAGTGTTATTGGGCTGCTTTGGCATGTATATCTTCGTCAAGGTGAGCCAGAGCTGTACTGTTTCATGTCTCTCCATTGCTACAGTGTTTTTGATAGCACATCTTTCTCCCCATGCTGTTACTAAATTGTGTTTTTTTTCTTCCATCTTTGTCCATTTTATAAGTAGCACATGTTTGGCATTTCTTTTGTTTTTAAGGTTTATGCCTGAAAAATACAAGTTTACTACTGACCAATTTGTTTTCTCCTTTATGAAGTAATTCATTCTTGAATATTTTCTCTTGAAAATACATGTATATAATGACAAATTAATACTTAGTAGTAGTTAAATATTAGGTGTACTTTTATATACAATAATTTTGTTTTAAGAAGCTTTTTGGAAATTAATCCATTGGACATTTACATATTACATTATTTGTTATGATAGTAAGATAACTGAAAGATTTTGTATATTTAATATGATGCTCTTTTAAAATTTTTTTAAATTCCCTTTAGGGCCATTCTCTTAGTGATGGGTTGGATGAAGTCCAAAAAGCAGAAATGAAAGCTTACATGGAATTAGTCAACAATATGCTGTTAACTGCAGAGGTATAAGATTATAAGGTTTGAAATAAAATGTAATTTTGTATAATTTGTATTCTCATATAAAACTTTTCTTATGGGTTACCTTAAAGCCATTGAGAAGTAGGACGCAGACTGGGGTGGTCATCTGAATTGTTTGATCATTATCTGTAAACAAGTTTCTGAATATTTTCAGGTCTAGATTTTCTGCTGTAAGGAGTGAGTCTTGCCTATTCACAGTTTTACTTTAGTCTTTTGAAGTTTAATAAAACCCATAAAATAATGATGTTTAGACATATAATCTGTGCATAAGAAATGTTTCCTGTAAAGTACTGCCAATAAATTTGATAATTCTGTGCAGTGAATTATCCAAGACGAAAAAAACTCATGTATTTGATTTACAAAGTTGGCTTATTAGAAATTACTATGGCAAGAAAGCCGTTTGACCCTTTGCCTGTTGGTGTTTTCAAGTTTCGGTGACTGTTCTTTTGTTCCCAGCTGTATCTCCAGTGGTGTGATGAAGCTACAGTAGGGGAGGTGAGTGGTTCTGCAGCATTTATCTTAATTAAAATTTAATGAGAAAACACTTTTGCTCAGAATCGCAAGTCCCTGCTCATAAATGAAACATTGTGGTTTATACCATTAGTGATACAGTTTTTCACTTACTTTAATTTTGCTTGCACATACATTTTAGGGAAGCTATGTGTCATTGTTTGATAGAACTGGTTGTAAAGTACATAAAAGTTTATATATTTTTAAAGGGAATGGTTTAAAATTTTAATTTTTTATGTTGTAAGCTATATTTTTTTCAGATTGCTTTATGTATGCTCTCTGAAAGTACATACATATTAGAATTCTGTTTGTAAAAATGCATTATTTTTAGGAAAGATTCTGTGTTTCACAAAGTCTTTTTGCTTTAGATCACTCATGCTAGGTATGGATCTCCGTACCCTTGGCCTTTGAACCACATTTTGGCCTATCAGAAGCAGTGGGAAGTCAAACGTAAGATGAAAGCTATTGGATGGGGGAACAAGACTCTGGACCAGGTCAGTACCGACTGAAGCTAATAAAAGCTTCAATTCCTATGCATTAAAATGGCATTACTTTAAAAAACAAAACAAAACCTCAATGTAATAGTGTAACATAAACAACAAAATACTTGATATTATTTCTCTCTTATGATGTAGTTATATTTCCTTTATGAAAGTTGCATGTGCTTATTCGCCTATAAGGTCTAAATGACAAATGATTTCTGAAATCCTGCCACCTCAGAATTGTCCCTCTTCATTTGGAGAATATTTTTCTAGATGTCTAAGTAATACTGTCCTCAAATGGGATCATATTATGCCTGCTATTCTATAACTTGATTTTTTTTTCCTCCCCCTAAACAGCATATTGTGGGAAACTTTTATATCAATAAATAGATCTGCAGCATCAGAGCTTAAAAAACCTTTATTAAGTACAGTACTTAGCTGGGTGGTGGTGGCACATGCCTTTAATCCGAGCACTTGGGAGGCAGAACCAGGTGGATCTCTGTGAGTTCGAGGCCAGCCTGGTCTAAAGTGCAAGATCTAGGACAGGCACCGAAAGTACACAGAGAAACCCTGTCTTGAAAAACAAAACCAAACAAAAAGTACAGTACTTAACTGAATTTTTTTTCTGGTGAGGGGTGTCTTAAGTTTACTACAGTAACAAAAAAGAATTAAAAATGTAATTTTCAAGGTCATGAGGTTGAGCATCAGTCATTTAAGCTAACTGGTGTTTCTTTTTGCTCTCCCCGATTTCTAGCCAGACATCTGACTGATGTGTGCTGCAAGGAGGTTAGCAAGTGACTGTGAATAGACTAAGTGAGATCAATCTCAAGCGCAGTTCAGTGTGTCATTTTCATGGAGCAGCCGCCCTTAAAGTATAAGCAAAATCATTGGCTGTATGGACTCAGTAAAACATTGTTTAGAGAATTAAATTTTGAGAGAAAAACTTTTTGTTAAATGGTGATCTTTATCAGTAACGTAAATGTACTTGTATTCACTAATTCCCATTAACGTCAAAAGCATTGTCTAGGTCATGTATATGGTCTGTGGTCTGAACTTTAAGCTGAGTTTTTCTGTTATAAACTGTGACATAAGTAGAGTCTTACATACTTTTATTGCTTTGCTAATGTGGATCTTTTTCTTTTGGTTCGCTGCCTATGTAGGTCTTAGAAGATGTAGACCAGTGCTGTCAAGCCCTTTCTCAGAGACTGGGAACACAACCTTATTTCTTCAATAAGCAGTAAGATGTTTTATTATTGTGATATGTCTTTGCTTCACATAGAGGTTCCAAATGTCTTTTATCACAAAGGTATTCTTTTTTCAAGAAGTACATATAACTCTGCTCTTCTTGGCGGGGACCAGCTGTGCGGCTCCTCTTGTTATATACAGGGAAGGGCTCTAGCCCCTTGTGGTCATGTCATTGATGTTGGGAGCTTTCTATCCACAGATTTTCTTTTCAAGCAGTAAGACACATTACAGAATGAATATATAGAAAAGACTTATTTTTAAAATTAATTTTTGTACTCATTAAACATTTATCCCTTCTTGGCTGTTAGGCATAGTGCTGGCTCTGAGATCATATTTTTAAAGTCCAGTCCTTGTTGCTAAGTTTTCTTAAGATCAGTCTTATAAATCAATCAATTTTTGTATGATTTGACAAAGATTTTGATAGAGATATTTCAAGGTTTTATAAGAAGTACAAAATATTAAACTTTCAAGTACAAAAACATGAATATGCTGCTAATACAACTCTAATCCATAGTGAAAGGTGCTTGAAGGCCAAGAGAGTCATATGAACAAGCAGAATACTGTCAGATGGATGAGAAACAGACATTAAGAAGTATAGATTAAAAAAATATATGTAAATTGAATAATTCATATTCTGTTAACAAGATTTTAAAAATTTAATGCTAATTAAATTTTTAAAATTAAAATGGCAAAGATTTTTCCTTTCTTAAAAATTATAATTTGGGGGGGTGTTTCAAGACAAAGTTTCTCTGTATATCCCTGGCTGGCCTGGAACTTATTCTATAGACCAGACTGGCCTTGAACTCAGAGATCCAGCCTGCCTCTGCCTCCCGAGTGCTGGGATTAAAGGCATGTGCCTCCACTGCCTAGCAGAAATTAAAGTATATTGAATATACTTTAATAGCAAAAATAATATATTGAAAGTGGTTGTCAATTTGTGATCCAGTATAGATGAGTTTAAATTAATATTTTAATCTCAATGGATTTCTTAAGGCTATATTTTTCTTGACTTATTATTAAAAACAATGTTTTTAGGTTGATAATCTTTTTTCATGTATTTTTATGTGTGGTGTGCATGCATGTGTGTGATCCCATGTGTGAGCACATGTGTATATGGGTGTACATGCATGGATAGGCATGTGCCTGTGGAAGCCTGAGGTTGATGTCAGGAACCTTCCTAGATTGCTCATTGCTTATTCTTTTGAAGTAGGGTCTGTAAGGTCTCTTATCAAATCCAGAGCTTGTTGATAGGGCTGGTTCCTGCAGAGCCAGAAGAGGGGATTGGATCCTTTGGAGCTGGAGTTAAGGTCAGTCATGAGCTGTGATGTGGGGGCTGGGAACCAAACCCAGGTCCTTTGAAAGAGCAGCCAGTGCTCTAAACCACTGAGCCATCTCTCCAGCTCCAATCATTTAAAAAAACATGTTTTATTCTGTTCTATTTCACATTGTGTGTATATTGGGTATGTGCATGTGAGTGCAAGTGCTCATGGGCCAGAGCCCTGGAGCTGGAGTTAATAGGTGATTGTGAGCTGTGACATGGGTGCAGGGAGCCAAACACAATCCTCAAAAGAGTAGTCCCTAGGTGATCATTTTTAAGGGATTTATTTGCTATGGTTTTTATTCTTCATAGAAATCTTCTGTAGCCATGCCAAACATATAGTAAAAATGAATGTGACAACAATTTAGAAGTATTTCAATTATATCATTTTGTAACACAAGTAATATAAAATTACACACACACACACACATATATATATATATATAGCATATATACATCTCAGGTTATAAAAATTATTTTAAGATTAAAAATTGGGACTTGTTAATCTCTGAAGCAGAAAGCCTACAGGATTCACCAAATCCTGGAAGTTACAGCTTCTGCAACTATGTTGCCTTTCCATTGTTTAGTCCCTAACACAAAGAAATATACTCAGATGTTAGTATTATGTAGTTCTTTTTCTTTTTGATATTGAATTCTTTCTAGTTCAGAAGTTGAGAGGGGTATGTTTTATTGTTTGAAGTGCATTAGTCTTATAGTCTTGTTGCACATTCTGTCTTTTGGGGCAGGCAGGAGAATAATTTTTAGTTAAAGTCATTGTCCAAGTGTTGGTAACTAGAGATCTTTTGGCATGTGATTTAGAGAAAAATTAGTTGTAAAACAGAAGACATGCATTTGATGTTTAATTGGTATTTAAGATACACATATTCAAAAATTTTACCTAATATGATACTTAGGCAGATAATTTTTTTTCCCGGAGCTGAGGACTGAACCCAGGGCCTTGCGCTTGCTAGGTAAGCGCTCTACCACTGAGTTAAATCCCCAACCCCAGATAAATATTTTTTATTAACCAATAATTGTGATTGAAGAATATATTTAATTTGTAATATTGCCTAATCTTTTTATTTAATTTTTGGAGATAAGGCTGTTACTGTGTAGCCCTGGAATTGGCTGTGTAGCTCAGGCTGGCCTCCAATCTATGCTTGTTCTTGCTTAGCCTCCCAAGTGCTGGGATTAAGGGTGTATACCTCGTGTCTGTCTGCCCATCATTTAATCAGTATTAGATGGAAGAAACTACATTTAGGAAAAGGGAGCTTGTAATTTTATTTTGCTATGCAAAACTCTTTTTCATTTCTTTATCTGTGGTAAGAGTCATTTGTTTGTGAGAGCTGAGAACAGAGTATCTTCGCTAGTAAGGTACTGGCTTAAGATGTATAGATTAGATTCTCTTTAGAAGCCTTGAATTCTATCTACCCTTGGCTCTCATGTATACTGAACAGTAACAAATTCTCTTTTCCTTTGTATTCTACTTTTACTTCCTAAAATTAAAACAAATTTTGGTTGTTACTTAACTACCAGAAATAATGAGAAAAGACTTTGAAAAGTAACCAAATGACTTGTTTGTTTTAAGAAAGAGAGGAAAGCCGGGCGGTGGTGGCGCACGCCTTTAATCCCAGCACTCGGGAGGCAGAGCCAGGCGGATCTCTGTGAGTTCGAGGCCAGCCTGGGCTACCAAGT